ATTTATATATATATATATACACACACACACACACACACAATGTGTTAGTGCAGATGTTGTAGCTCAGATTGAAAAGAAGAAAATATTAGTAGAGGGTAACATAAAGAACAGAAATGACTACAGGTGCTCTTTTCAGATCTGCTCTGCTCCTGTCATATCTAGACTGTGCTCAGGGTCTTCAGGAGCAGGAGGAAGATAAAATAGTGAGTGATAAGACTCAGTTACTTTATGTGAACATGGCCGTGTCACAAACAGAAGATGTCAAAGTTAGCCATGAACAGCAGCCACTGTACCGTTAGATTAAGGTTTGAGAGCATAAAATAAGCGATAAAAGCATCAGCTCAGAACAGAGTTGTGTTCATCAATAAACTGTTCCTTTTTAAACTAAAATGAAACAAGAAGAGGCGAAGATGCATTGAGCGTTGTGGTTTTATCAGACCACAAACAACTGCAGGCATGCACAGATCAGTGGGAATCCTGGGCGCACGTCGGACCAACCTCCAAGAATTGTTGCATTGCCAGGAAACAAACAGAAAAGCGTGTTAGAGCAAAACACTACCTTGGCCACCACTGTCTCCTCGTGAGGCTGTGACTTTGTTCAGCAAGGAATGGAGAAAGTCATTTTCAGCAACCACCCTGGAAACAAAAAAAAACACACACACACAAGAAACATGCTTAAAAATACAGAAAAATAATCCATTTTTGAAATGTGTGGACGCCGACTACTTCAAGTACACAAAACTGTCACATTGGTGTTTAAACTTTATGGGAGATCTGTGAAGAGATGCTGAAATGGCTTTTCAATCGCTGTTTTGCAGCAAATAAAAGTGAAGTAGGGAGCAAAAAGAGAAGGATTAGCAGGAGAAAATGAAACGTACGGGAAGAAGGGGATGAAAAACTGCTTCTCCTCATCGCATTCAATCTTCCCTTTGATGATGTCGCTTATGTCCATTACTGCCAAGGAAAGAAAGAAATTGTGTCTGAGATGAGAAAAATCAAGGAAAGCGCTTTACAGTTACATGTCATATGAATTCCCTTCAGCCAAACAGGCAAAATACAAGCAATGCTGGAACTGAAACAATCCTCCCTGATAGCTGTCTCCTATAAAAACATAAAGACCTCTGACCTGAGTCAGTGCGGACAACAAGAACTTAAATCAGACGTCCTTAAAGTTGGAATTGAGATTCAAGTGAGGGTCATAAAAGTAAGAAGTTTAAAATAAATCTAAAAAATAAAGTGATTGCTAAAAGTGTAATTTTCTCGTCAAAGAAAATTATAGTTTTGTCCTTGATTAATTGTCTTTATAGTAATGTTTATATTTTTTATTCAGGGTTAAAAGACTGCTACGTGTTGTGGGTTTGAAGCTCAAGGGTTTGGAAACAATAATTCAAACCTTTAACATCTGTACTTTTCAATCACAAAAGGTTTTTGGATAAATATGTGCAAAAGATTTAGGCTTCAACTGTGGTAATTAGGAGTAATTGTAATTTTGGCAAAATCTACTAAAGAATAAAACGAAATTCTTCAAAAAAATATAATCTGTCCTTACCTTCTCAGGTAAGGACAAATTATAATTTGCTGCAGGGAGAAACCGTATCAGGACAGGTTTTTCACAGATATATCACCACACCACCTATTCACACCAAAATATATATATTTTATTTTGTTATCATATTTACTTAGGTACAAATGAAAATTAAACAAATAATATTATTTTGTAATATATTTAATTGAAAACTGGCATAAATATTTAAAGATTGTTTGTTTTAAAATAGTTGACTACTGCATTGTGTTCTTAAAGGCATAGGTCAAGGTATAGGTCATTTCATTTTTCTTCATTTTATTTTTTTTATGTTGATTCATTTTGCACATTCGTGTTATCACATTTGACTAAAATGTTGATGTATTTAGTGGTGCCACTTCTTTATCCATGCCATTAAATTATGTGGCTTATTGCCCAGCTACCAAGTCACTTCCATTTTGTATGAAGAAATTATTTGTTGTTGTTGTTTACAGGAAATGTGTTTCCACTTGGCACTTAATTATCTGGCTCTTTACCCTGTAGATGTTGGAGGGTAATTGCGTGAACTCARCCAGAGTCTGGCAGCTGAAACTTTACATTTTGTTAGTAAATACTGTAGTTTAATGCAGTGTTCGGTCCTCAAGGCACACTGCCCTGCATGTTGGTTCCCTGCTTCAACACAGCTGATTTCAGTTGATAACTGATTTAAAGTGCTTTTGTTGAACTGCAATCATCTGAAATGTGCATTAAAGCAGGGGCATTTTGGAAAAAAATGCAGGGCAGTGGGCCTTGAGGACCAGGGTTGGGAAATACTGGTTTAAAGAACCAAAGTCAGTCCCCTGGTGYTGTGGTTACTGATTATATGTGTTTTAGCCACTGAGGAGAGGTGTGATTGAATGTGAGATGATAAATCTGTCAAAAGACCTCTGAAAAATGTGTACCCCTCACTTCTGAGATTGTGATTATGCCCTTGGTACTGTGGCAAAAGATTCATTTTATGTGGAAAGCAAGTGAGCACAACTTCTGCACAGAAACTAAAGATGATTTGGTTTATCCTATATACAGCAACTCACTGACAAGGGATGTTAAGTAACAATATATCAGTATTCTTGTTAGCTAGCTTAATATATATTTTTAATGTATTAACTCAATAATTTAGCTAACAGTTTCTGCCTCCAACAGGGGACTGTGCAAACTGCGCAGCTCTGCAGCAGCAAGTCTCTCCTCTGTGATCCACAAGTGTGCATCCGCGTTAGCTCATGATGCGTTTAAAGACGGCTCGAAAAACACGGTACTGCATCTTAATAACGGATAACTATTGGTTGAAAAAGTGCGGGGGACAGCGGGCACGGATACAGAAAGTGTGGGGAGCATGCTCCATGCAAGAGTGTTTGCAAATAACTAATTTATAAAAACAGTCCTCATTTGGTGATGATATAGTTTCAACACAACCTTAAATCAACAGAAATATCAAAAAATAAAAGAAAACTTTTCAGAACAGCATTGAAGTTCCAAATCTGACTAGTGTTTAACCTCTGACCACCAGCAGTAACAGTTTAGCACCTCTTTGAATCAGTCAGAACAAACTGAATCAACTCATCTCAAAGTACCTGCCACCCCAAAAGGCCTCCGGAGGCCCTGAGTGCACTTCTTGTTGTTTGTTTCTTTCAAGTCCATCCTGCCCACTCTCACTATCTGACAGATCAAATAAATCTTCTCTCGGCTCAGGTCTTTGTTCCCCAAGTCCTGGTTCACAAAGACAAAAACAAAGTAAGTAAAAAAAAAAAAATCAGCAACGGGGAAAGGGGAAAAAATAAGGGAATAACGAAACCTTCTCTTACAGATAACAGGTTGTTTTTGTTTCTCTGCTTGTGAAGGGATCACAGAGTTAATAAACAGTGGGACGGCGCCCTCCAGTGGCTACTTACTGTGAAGACAACTTTCAGGTTGTTCAACATTTCGATCTCTTTGGGGAAACCTCTGCTGCCCCACCGAACCAAGTAGTTCTCGCTGCACAAAGAAAGAAAAAATACATTAAAACATGCATCTTTTGAATTACAGTTTAACGATAACATTAACAAACTCAACATTTAAATATAAATGCAATAAATTACATTAAAACATCCCCCTGCTAGTCTGAGTAAAATGTTTGGTTAAAGTATATAATGTATAAATTAAAGGAATAGAATTTGTCAATCATCTTTAATGCCAGAAGGTAAACTAAATCATTTCATGATGAAAGAAGATGAAGTTGTATTTTTTTATTGAAATTGTGTTAAAATGATGTCATGTGCAATTTCATGCAAGACCTTGTGAGACCTTTTGGTAATTGAAATAGGTACCACAACAAATTTTTACTCAACGTATGATGAATTTATTGAGATACGTAGCAATATTTTGCTAAGACTAGTTGCTACAAACACAAAGGCCATTAGCATGTTCCTGTAATACAAAACTCTAGCAGTAATGTGAAAATGAGATAGAAAAYAAGGACAAACGCATGAAAACATCTGTCGTCAAAAAGATCTGTTTTGTTTCTTAGAAAACAGAAACAACAAACAAACACATAAGAGTGGCACAGGGCTATAACGTCAGAACAAGAGGATAGAAAGGAAAGAAATACCCTGATAGTAGTGGGTGTACACTGAAAAAAAAAGAGTGACTAAAGTCTATCTTAATACTTCGAGCTCTTACAGGCTGAGACACAGATATACTCAGTGTGACAGTGAGTGATGGGGCTTAACATCAGCACTGTCAAGCTCCATACAGGGCTGCCACTCACTGTCCGCTGGCCCTGTAATTTAAATTTTCTATTTTCTTTATGTCTATTTTTGGCAAATTGACATGATTTAGTGTCGCTCAACAATAGRAAAGAAGAGAAGGCAAGGTATGTCSACAAGAAAATAAAGTAAATRGGAGGGGAGGGTGTGGAGGCCACACATGCTGAGCAGAGCAACGGGGGCCGAAGTAAGACGATCTAAGCTGGAAATGTTTTTTATAAAAGCTAACATTACTTTAAAATAAACAGTTGAAAGAGTAAAACTGATACCTAATGATGGTCTGTTTACACGGGTCATAGAGGGACATAAACAGCTCGGAGTCTTCGCCGATGCGGCAGACAAAGTTCCTGACAAAGACGTAGAGACTGTGTGTGGGGGAAGACTGGATGCGTGCTGAGATCCCGCTGTGGTCTGTCTGGATGTTGGACTGCAGGGGGAAGACATTARTGTCAGCAGGATCAGCGGCTGTTTGGACCTGACAAGATAAAGTGCCATCTGAAAGACATTTGTTTACTTCAGTCTTAACAAACCTGAATGTCTGAAATATTGAGGATTTTATGCTTAAATGTATCAGATAAAACATGCAGACTGTAGCATTTTGAAAGTGAGAGTAAAAAAAAATTAAACTCAGTGTTGTATTTTCTCATTTCAATCATTCCTTTAGATATTAGTGCAACTGAGGTTAAGATTGTTAGGCATCACAGAAACATCTATGTATTTTGCCACATAAATAAAGAAAACAAAAAAGACAAAACTAATTTTGGAGAACWTCTGTACAAATCTATTTTCCGTTGAATTTGACGAAGAATATCAGCACCAAAGCCAGCAAATAAGCATTTTGTACATGCTCCTCCCTCACATTAGCTCTGCTCTGTACCTGTTCCTCTTTAATACGCTCATTGATCTTAGCTGTGGCCTCCTCGTGCGCCCTGAAAAGACTGATGATGCTCGTTTTTTCCGGCTCCAAGATGTTCCCATCCTCGTCCCGAACGACAAGGTCCAGCTCCAGGATTCTGAAGCAGAAAACATGAAAAGGGGAAGCGACGGGTATCAACAACCCATTCTCACTCCCAAGTCGTCACATATTGACGCTTTGGCAAGGTTCCCTCTACGTCCGATTTTGACGCGCCGGGTACCCCCGTCACGTCAGTTACTGACGAGATGGGGCGAAATCTGTTGTCATATTTTCAGAAAGAGTAGAAAATGCGCAAAAACTACCGTTTCGAAGCCTGAAATTACCTTTTTTCACTTTAGACATCCTGTCCCTGACCCTAGTACCTAAAATTAACCATTTTTAGAAAATGTAGGAAATTCACGTAAACATGTTCCAAAGCCTGAAATTACCTAATATTCACCATGGACATCCTACCCCTGATCCCAGTACCTAAACTTAACCATTAATCCTGATCCCTCATGTTAACCTCAGACCCTCGACSCAAAGACCCCTGGTGGCGCAACCCGGAAAAGCCGCGGGCGTCAAGGACTGACGCGAGGGGGGCACCTGATGCGTCAAAATAAGACGCAGAGGGAACCTTACCTTAAGCGTCAATTTGTGACGACTTGGGAGTGAGAATGTGTAGGTATCAAAGGAGGATGAAAAAGTGAAGCGGAGAAGAGGTTTACTGAAAAAACTGTCCATCATACCAAGTTTTAAAATCTTATATCCAGCCAAAAAGTCTTTTTTGATCTTGTTTTGAGACTGATTTACTAAACAAGAACTGATTGTGTAAAAATAATCATCTTGTTTTCGGAATGTGTAAGATTATTTGTCTTGTTAGCCTGAAAATTTGACTCACATTAAGTCAAAATATCTGCCAATGGAGTAAGAAAACTACTTGGTAAGGTTCTTGAAATAAGAAAAAATTGAGTCAAATCAAGTATTTCAAGAATCTTACCAAGTAAAATTTTTTAACTCAATTGGCAGAAATTTTTCATTTATTTTGAGTCAAATTTTCAGACTAACAAAACAAATAATCTTACATATTCCGAAAACAAGATTATTACTCTTACACAATCAGTTCTTGTTTAGTAAATCAGTCTCAAAACAAGATCAAAAAGACTTTTTGGCTGGATATAAGATTTTAAAACTTGGTATGATGGACAGTTTTTGCAGTGTTAAAGGAGATAGAAGTGCGGAGGTTTACAAGAGCTTTTTACAGAGTGGGTGACAGGTGTTCGGGTCAAAGATAAGTATGTTATCAGTGCAGACATACTTGTTGCCATAATCAATCTTGGAAGTTACTTTCTGCTTGAGCTCTTTAAATTCGTCACTGGGCAGGGTGCCAGACAGGAGCTGAGAACGCCACTCCATCAGCTCCCACATCAACCTCTGGACCTGCTTCACTCGCAGATGTTTGTTGGACTGAGCAGACACAGGTGTGGTGTTAAATTCACACACACTCAAACAATCACACAAGCATTTTTAATGGTTTGGTTCGCACCACAAATAGCTGCTTCCATATGCTTCCCCACTCTCTCAGCGTGGTGGTCACCTCTTTGACCAAGGGCATCTCTGCAGACGTCACAATTTTCTCATCTCTAAACACATGAGGATGAATTCAAATTTAACAAAATTTAATCCTCGGACAGCTTTCGGGAATTCAATTTTATTTGCACTCACCCCCGTTTTTTTATGACAACATCTTTAAGATGGACAAAGCTGGCAGGGAATACTCCCTGGAAGGAAACGAACAGGAAGAAAATCAATAAAAGTTCTAAAAGTCAAAAAATAGAATCTAGCTGGCTTGGGCATCATCACTGTACTGTTTTTTAAATGAGTTAAATATATATATTGTATTATAAGCAGGTTCCCACCTGCTGGGCTTTATTCCTTGCCAAGTAGCCTTTGTACCATCCTGAAAGACAATTCAGATATACCAGGAGTTGGCGTGTGTCGCTATGCCTTGTTTTGATTTTGCTAATCAGTAGCCAAGTTTAAACATGTGCTATGGACTTTTGCTTTTATGGTTTATTATTGATTTATATATTCATGCCTCACAGTTGTATTTAAAGTTAAATATTAGATACTCTTACCTTCACAAACCTCCTGGATGAAGACCGTATCTCCTATTTCCAGGGACAGCTGCTTCTCTCCTTTACCGACAAAATTCCACTTTACTAGAACAGAAAGAAGTTGTGGACATGAGGAATGCTTAATATTTATACAAACGGTTACAAATAAAAGGCCCTGAGCCTAAAATGATGTGTCCATCTAGAAATGTTAGCATTTACTTAGCCTGATAAATTAAAACCTCAGACAAATGATTTTAGCTGTAGTTTGACAGATGCTACAGAAACAGTTAAACTAGGAAAGTTGATGTTTTTCAAAGGTAGACATCAGTTAAATCACTTTAGGTGGAAAAGGTAATGTATATATGCAAGAGCATGGAGCTTTTCCCTTAGTTTTATTAATAAGACTGTTATGATTTAGTTTCTCATAGTTAGGAAGTATCGTCTAATTATGACTTATGAATTATAACTTAGCATCTTATAAATATGACTTGGACTCATATTACAAAAAAAATGATCAGAATGACAGAAATGGGCTTCCATGTTTGTTTAGCTTTTAGGCTAACGTCTGACATTTTATTGATCAAATTGTTTCACCAAACCAAAAAATCTATGCATATATATTTCAAATATTTAATGCTTAGTATATTGAACATCAACATCCAACTTGTGTAGCAGGAACAAGGTAGCTAAAGAGGTAACAGCACATTGCATCAGCATCTTTCACATTAAAGGCTGCACAAGACCTTTTCCTGAAAAAGCCAACACACAGTTAACCAGGATTTGTGTGGTCACTAACCAATAGTGTAATAATTTAAAGTGAGCTCCAAATAATCATAATAGTTTGTGTTGTAACATTCACCAGTGTTATTATTAACGCTTTATGGCTTTAAACTCACACAAACTGACTTCCTTCTTCCCCCACTTCCTGTGTTCTACAGTCTCACACAAACTAGGAAGATATTTATTTTTAAAAACAGTAATTTGCTGTTTTGTTTAAATTACATTGTATTGTCCAATGCACCTCTCATTGTTAGAGTTAAGCAATAAGCTGTGCTGCGAGAACTTTTAACTGTCATCTCTCAGTATAACAGTGAAACGTTTTTTACAAGACCAGCAAATGGATACCATCTGCCACCGACTAGTCAATCTCTGTCCTTATAAATGTGATTGGGGATTTGAAAATCTGCATTTCTTGCCAAGCACTGACTGTATTGCATATCTAATGGAAACGCATGCTAATCAGCCTCGCCATATTAAACCGCAGAGCAGAGAAACACTCCACTGAGGTTGTTATTTTATATTTTTTTGAAAAAGCTATGATTTGATCCTTGCTACACTTGCTCATAAAACTGGACTTTTTTAGAACAACTCATCGTTCAGCACCCACATAGATGATCTGCTAATTATTGCATGTTTAAGAGTCCCTACAGCTGCTTATTTCTCTCTCAAAAAGAAAAATCTTCTCATGGTTCTATATGTTCCCCCATTCTACTGCAGCTTTTTTTTGCATTTTGTTAGTGTAAAGATAAATGATAAGTATAATTTGAACTTAAGGACTTTAAATTATAGTCAAATATAATGTGAACATCCTGAGGGGCTCTGAGGGCCTTTTGCACCTGTTCACAAAGTGTCAAGCAGGAAGTAAAAGTAATCTGAAATGTACTTTTCCCTCAATGTTTATTTTAAGAGCTTACTAACATATAAAATCAATAACAGAGCCCCAGGAAGTTTTTGAACAGACGCATATTATAAAAGAGACAAAAGCGGACATTCTGACTCACCAACTCCAAAATGTTCTGTAGTACTCCTCGTCCAAGGAGCCATGTTTCTCTCAGACCTCTACACACTTAATGAACAGTATATTTTTAGTTTCCCTTTGGTTTGTATTTCTGTCCTTGAGCCTCACTCTTCTGCATTTTTTTTACTTCAAATGAAGGCAATAAGCCCATCCCCTTTGCTTTTCTTCCTCTTCTGTCTCTTCTCGCTTCCTGTCTTTCGAACGGTTAAGAGGAAGTGGTGGAGTACAGCAAGGTGGAGTCCTATCAAGCACCCAGGCCTGTGCAGCTTCCACTTTGCTCAGTTACACTATTACCTCAGTGATCTTGGTGTCTGTTAAAGGGGGTTAAACAGGAAGGCAAAGCTTTGGAGCTTCTTTTCTGAAAGTTCCCCACAAATGAAATACTGAAAATCTGTAAAATGTCAAATTGCATTGTTTAAGTGTGCGTGCATTTTTAACGAAGAGCCCATCAAATGACCTATAAAACAAGCAGCTTTTTTGGTGTAATCCTTTCTCAAATCCATAAATTGCATAGTTTAACAAGTAGTTTTTGATCTATTTAGCTAAAATCAATAGTTTGACAGCTCACCATGCCACTCACTGATCACTTTTCTTTTCTTTTCTTTTTTTAGTGCAACTCCTTGCAAGCTTTAAAAAAATGTTTAATGTCAAAAGATGAAGCAACAAGACGAAACAAAACTGTGAATGTTACTTCAAGAATCAGTCATCAATAAAAATTAATCAACAGCAGACAAAGTTTATTTATCTAATAAAAAACAGCTGGGGAACATTGTCAACTATTTAACCAAAAAAAGATAAATTGATTAAATTAGTGTTGTGAAGAATGCATGAATGAACATATTGAACTGTTTTTATGCAGTAGTAAGTTCATTTGCATCTTTATCATTTGGCTTAAAGCGGATGATAAAATAAAAAAGGGAAAAGTGATGTAATTAGAACATTTGCTCTTTTTGTCAAACAGGGAAGATTATCTATTGTGCTTTTAAAGTCAATAAAACAGCACAGTGTCAAATCTCAGTAGGTCTGACAATAATTCCGAGCATCACTTTTAAAGTAATGATCTTAGAGCCTCTTCAGATTCAATTCTCCAAGTGATGGTAGTTGAGAGAAACCCAAAGAGCTCCAGCTGTGACCCTGCAATGCAGCAAACTGTCTTCATTTAAGATTTATGTGAGATGACATGTTGTCTCTTCAGGAAGAAATAAAAAAATAATAAAATTCTAAATATTTCATACCGAACAGTAGTTTTAAAATAGAGGCTTGATTTSGTTTTCAGTTTCATTGTCGCGGGAATTATTTACACAGCTCAAACAAATTTTTGAGATTTCAAAGAAAACAGTCCTTCATCAAATATGTATCTTCTCTGAACCCCTTCAGATGATGTTACCACGGTAACCATCCCATTCGGAGAGCATCCTTGACGCCAGTTGGCAGCATTCATCTAATGGATAAGACCTTTAGGAATATTACTGGCTCACTCTCTTTACCTTAAGCATGAGCTACACAGTAAAAATGTTACTTAAAATGTTACTTCTTTTTATGGASCTGACAGTAAAACTGAAACCAAACAGTATTTCTAATCCAGTTACAGGCCTGGTGTTACTTAATGGAAAACTGCTTTTTGTGCCAGAGATAAGAACACAGAGTGACAGACATTTTGGTCAAACTTTGTCAATGATGTTATGCACAATCTAATGTGATTTGAAGAAAATAGTAATAACTGGGGGACAGAATCAACACAATCAGCATAAAGTAACTTCAAACAGAATATACACAATAAAACAAGAGAAAAAAGACWAGATAAAATACTTTTTTTCTGCTGGCCAATGTCAATTAGCTGTGCATTAGATACACCGTTTATTTTTTAAGAGATTTCTTTAAAATTAGTTCAGGAGATACTGTGAGCTTTGTTACAGAATGATGTCGGTTTTTCATGCWGTTTAAGGGATCAACGGTCACAGCCTTCAATGTKGGTTTTCAGCCTTGCTACTTACTTGAAAATATTTGTCCTGATTCTCTAAATCTTTTGATGATACAATATATAATATAACTGTAGATTACGAAAGCCCTAAGCTCATTGTCATCCTTAATCTGTTATAACATTTGTTATCTTCCCCATCCTTACTCATGAACAAATGAGCCTTTTGGGGATGCTCCCTTTAGACACAGTCATGACGCTCACTTATCTTTAATTAACCTGTTCACCTGTGGAATACTCCAAACATGTGTTATATCGATTGATTGACTGACTGACTGACTGACTGACTGACTGACTGACTGACTGACTGACTGACTGACTGACTGACTGACTGACTGACTGAAGCTATTTTGGAACATGTTTCAGGCATCAAATACAAATCTTTGCAAAAAAAAACCAAAGTTGAGCATTAAATACAGTATCTTGTCTTTGTCGTGTATTCCATAGAATACAGGTTGAAATGGATTTGCAAATCATGATATTCTGTTTTTATTTATGTTTTAAACAATGTCCCAACTTCATTGAAGTTCGGGTTGTTAATACAAAAGCTCAAAGCAAAAATTTTGCTCAGTATGTTTTGCTTAAACGTCAAGTTATGGATAATGCTCGGCCAGTACCAAACCAATCTTTAGCTCAATATCAGTAAAATTGGGTAAGCTGTAGCTATTTTTGTGTTGGCTTATATTAAAAGGGAGTTGTAGATACGGAACTAATGATTACTTMYTGAAAGTTTCATACTAATTCATCCTCTGATTTGTGAGATGTTTTGCTAACACTATAGACAAATTAGCATATRCATACACAAATTAAAAACATTATTAACACCTCATACCTCTGATGGCTAACAGTGAAACACACCCTAACTGGTTTTGTTGTATGTTTTGACCCTTTGAACTTTAACTTTCAACATTATTCAAATAAAATAACGAAAAGCATCTGATCTRTTGTAACAATTTAACAGTTATCACAGCCTAAGAGGAATGTTATAAAACAAACACATCAAGAAAATACAGTTTTCAGAACCTGTGGGAGATGTTCTCAAATAAAAGGTAAAAAAATGAATACAACAAATTAAAATTAGCTTTACCAATAAATCAGGCTCTTCTAAGCCACTTCTACCTGTTTGTTAGTTTGAATATTACAATTGATCTTTTCACAGATGCACACTTCTTGGATTGTTTTTTTCTTTTGTTCATTTTTTTTATCATCAGTCAGTATTTCTTGTATTATTTATTCTTCCTCTCCTGTGTTGCAACCAAAAAGCAAGCATTTCTTACATAAGTGATACTGAAAGCAATACGGTGAACTTTGTAAATTCAGAACAAACCACAAATTATTTTTTATTTTGTAACATCTCATAAGAAATCTCACTTATGAAACATATAGCAAATGCATTTAGTTCATGTCACATTTTTAAAATGCATTGATTTTACAGCTTCACCTATTTCTGTGTTTTTTTTTTTATTCTTCAGTTGAACCAAAATGTATCACAGTAACAAAAAGGTTTATAAGTCCATGACTTACTGCTTGAGTTTTCAGCCAATCTTGGAAATATCATATGGTCCTTTTGTTGTTATACTTCACAACTCTATAGATTTGAGACTGAGAGAAGACTAATGGCACTTGGTTTTCAATCTATCTCTGACAGAAATTGTGAAAGTGAGAGAACAAGTCTTGCAGCTATGAGGAAAGTTGAACAGGTGAGAATAAATGAWAGGCTGATGAAGACACATACAGTWAKGTCCATATATATTTGGACAGAGACAACATTTTTCTAATTTTGGTTCTAGACATTACAACAATGAATTTTAAACAAACAATTCAGATGCTGTTGAAATTCAGATTTTCAGCTTTAATTCAGTGGGTTGAACAAAATGATTGCATAAAAATATGAGGAAATAAAGCATCTTTTAAACACAATCYCTTCATTTCAGARGCTCAAAAGTAATTGGACAGATWAAATAATTGTAAATAAAATGTTCATTTCTAGTACTTYGTTGAAAAGCCTTTGTTGGCRATGACTKCCTGAAGTCTTGAACTCATGGACATCACCAGACGCTGTGTTTCCTCCTTTTTAATGCTCTGCCAGGCTTCACTGYRGYGGTTTTCAGTTGCTGTTTGTTKGTGGGCCTTTCTGTCTGAAGTTTAGTCTTTAACAAGTGAAATTCTCAATTGKGTTGAKATCAGGTGACTGACTTGATCATTCAAGATTTTTCCACTTCTTTGCTTTAATAAACTCCTGGGTTACTTTGGCTTTATGTTTTGGGTCATTGTCCATCTGTAGTATGAAACGACGACCAATCAGTTTGGCTGCATTTGGCTGGATCTGAGCACACAGTCTGGCTCTGAATACCTCAGAATTCATTCGGCTGCTTCTGTCCTGTGTCACATCATCAATAAACACTAGTGACCCAGTGCCACTGGCAGCCATGCATGCCCAGGCCATCACACTGCTCTGCTGTGTTTTACAGATGTTGTGGTGCTTTGGATCATGACCTGTACCACGCCTTCACCATACTTTTCTCTTTCCATCATTCTGGTTGAGGTTGATCTTGGTTTCATTTGTCCAAAGAATGTTCTTCCAGAACTCTGCTGGCTCTTTTACATGTTTTTTTAGCTAAGTCCAGTCTAGCCTTTTTACTCTTGAKGCTTATGAGTGGCTTGCACCRTGCAGTGAACCCTCTGTATTTAYTTTCATGCAGTCTTCTCTTTCTGGTTGATTTGGAYATTGATACKYCTACCTCCTGGAGAGTGTTGTTCACTTGGTTGGCTGTTGTGAAGGGGTTTCTCTTCACCGTGGAGATCATTCTGCCATCATCCACCACTGTTGTCTTCTGTGGGGCCCCAGGTCTTTTTGCATTGATGAGTTCACCAGTGCTTTCTTTCTTTCTCAGCATGTACCAAACTGTGGATTTTGCCATTCCAAATATTGCAGCTATTTCTCGGATGGGTTTTTTTCTGTTTTTGCAGCTTAAGGATGGCTTGCTTCACCTGAAGAGCTCCTTTGACCGCATGTTTACTTCACAGCAAAACCTACCAAATGCAAGCACCACACCTCAAATCAACTCCAGGCCTTTTATCTGCTTAATTGAGAATGACATAATGAAG